AAAAAAAAAAAAAAAAAGTCCGATACACTAAGCTATTGCTATGTGCGAGGTTCGGAGAAGGGCCGGACCACAAGAGTATTGTACGTAATCTTAACCTACAAATGTCAATTACTTTCTTGTATTTTGTGGTTGATCCATAGTTAAAAGAGGTATATAAAGTAGAGATTGGATTGTTTAAGCGATCGTACTTCGTACTGTGTTGGTAACTCATACTTAGATCTTCACCATCCTCCATTAGACCTGGTCACGCATTGAATTCTCAAAAGGGAAAATTTTGTGCCCAAAGTAAAAAACCATCATACACGCAGATCAAACAAAAAAAGAAGTAAAATCAAATCATCTTCTAAATACATAAATTCGTTTTGCTCTTTTTCTTTTTCTTCTTTTTCCTTTTTTTGAGGGTGGGTGGAGATGTACCACAATTTATCCATTAATATTAATGCATAAACAATTCATCAAAAGACTGATTCCGGTCCCCTAAAGTTAGAAAGCTGGTTAGACTGCAATCTATGCCATATTATAATCTTCGCATAACAAGCATATGAATCAAGCGACGTCTTAATGTACAAACCATTTTTGTTGTGTCCCCTGGAGCCAAACCTTCACTTGATTGCTATTTTTCTCAGCAAAAGGAGGAACCACAGTGTTTAATAGAATACATTGACAGGATCCTAGAACTTTACATCCAAGGTATAAGCCACAATAACACACAAGCAATTTATAGAAACTTCAAATGAAAAAGAATTGCCATGACGGCATGTTTCTGTATTAAATTAAATTTGAAGGTGAAAATTTACAACCCAAAAAGCTAGAACGAAACATACTGTCTACAACTTAAACTACTACTAATATATTGTATTCCTAAATCCAATCCTAGAAAAAAGAAACATGGCAGAAGCCACAGGAACTATCATTTACATATTCTAAGCAAAGAATCTACCGACTCATCTAAAGTCTCATCCTCATTTGGGTGTAACCCACTAAAATCCAACCCCTGCACAAGGTAACCAATAGCTATAAAAAATGGATCATATGAATCTTTGAAGGTATTCTCAAAATCATTGTTTAGTAAGGTCATCTTTCCTGTCAATACTATGGACCTAAGAACCAATGCCTCAATTGTGTATGCTGCTAAACCAGTTTCCAAATAAAAAAATTAAGATAGCCCAAGCTGCATTAAAACGTCAGCTTACTGCAAAAATGAGATGCCGATTAAATCTTGAAAAGGTACTCCAAGTCCTCCACAGTGAGACGAGTCTGTCGGCTACCAGTCTCATCCTCTCCGAATGCAGAAGCAACCATTTCTCTTTTCTTTTGCTGTGAAAACCGGTGTTACCACAAATTAGAATTCTCAAATGTAGAGGAAGTGAGAAACCAGCAAAGATGCAGAAAGAAAGCCGCAAACTGGACTATGTTTGAATTACGACAAATAATGAAACCACATCCAAGTCGTTCAGAGGAAGATCATGACTATCCATGTTTATCATTATATTGATAGGAACACTTTAGGCGTGTTGCAAATTTACGAGGAAGTACGAACAAAAAGTTCAAAAAATAACAAATAAAGTAATACCTGAAGAGCCAAAATACGATCTTCAACTGTATCTTTTATAGTCAACCGCAAAACTGTAACAGGACGGGTCTGTCCAATCCGATGCGCCCTGTCGATTGCTTGATCTTCAGTGGTAGGGTTCCACCAAAGGTCCAAGAGAAGAACATGACAAGCTGCAACCATGTTCAGTCCAAGGCTTGCAGCTTTCAGAGACATAATCATGACTGATACCTGCGTAAAGCTTCAATATTTAGTCCTGGGATTTTAAAAAGATAGAAAAATATTCAACACCAAGAAGAAGGAAATGTTAAAACCTCGGGAAGTGTGTTAAAATCTTTCACAGCCTTATCTCTAGCAAGAACAGACATTGTTCCGTCAAGTCTACGGTACTGAATTGAGGAACTCTTCAGACAAGTTTCAAGCAAATCCAACATCCCTGTCCACTGAGAAAAGACAATTGCTTTCTCTCCAACGATTGTAGTTGTATCTTTGGAACTTGAATTCATCCTAGATTCTCCTGCATGATTATCACATTTATTTTCTGACGGAGAAGTTCCTTCATCATCTGATCTTGAAATGCAGTCCCTCAGAGTGCAAGCCTTCGGTTTAGACAGAGATTGCAGCATCTGAAGAGCAGCTTTAATCTTGGACGAGTCATATGGGCTACAAATTGAACTTTCAGCCACTTCAGAGCCAGCACAGTCAGGGTTCTTTTGCAGACTGGGCTGATCAGATAGAGAATCACTTAACATTGCTTTAGAGAAAACTGAAGAAACGCTCAGCTGAGTTTTGCAAGCTGATACAGGACACTTAGTGTCATCGCCGCTTAGATGTTCACAAATACACTGATTACAAAAGACATGTCCACACACTGTTACAACAGCATCTTCAGGGGGGTCCTACAAGATTGTTACCAAAATGCATAAGGAGGTAAGGAAGAAACAAGGAGATCCATAACAGAGAAATCCAAGACAAGAGAAATAAAGAGTAATGTAGTAAGAGACAGATCAAAATAGTAAAAGTTGCAGACAACTAGAAAACTTTATTAGGCTGAAATTAATTTAAAACTGGTATCACATATTAAAAGCAATTGTTGTTGCAACATTTCTCTGATAACCTGTAGTACGTAATCAACCAAATTGTAAGCACTATTTTCCAAATGTTATTTCTATTTTGCCTTGAACAGAGCAAATCACTTGAGCATTATCAAAGCAAGATCAAGTTTGTAACTAGAAATGGCAATAAGTTATATTAGCGTAACAAAGGCAAGCACCACTATTGGTTGTATCTCACCATTAACTTCAAAAATTGCAGATTCTTAATAGAAGACCCAGAAACAGGGAACAAAGATATTAAAAAATGCTACAATCATAAGGATAAAAACTCATTACATATAATAATGATACTTTTGGTGTTGATGTTTGCAAATTGCATGGAAAAAAACGAAAAATCCCCGAGTCGCAGAGGCGCACAGTTCGAAACTCGTGAATGCCTCTCTACCCTTCTCAACTTAAATACCAGCCCTTCTACTCTTCTCTACTTATATGCAACAAAGCCTAATCGGTTTGAGTGTCCTAATAGCTGAGAGGTTTCTACATGGAAGTTAAGTTGTAAAAATCCTCCTTTCTAGTTGTGGATCAGCTTCAATGTTAAACTGAACCATGCATGCATTTAGCAGAGCATGAGTGCTTGTGCATGTAGCATTCACAAATTTATCCTTAGCTAATATAGAACCTGAAAGTAGTAGCTTAAAACCCCAATACTTTTGGTTCACTCTTCCTTCAAATTAGACGAGGATGTATCATCAAAAAATAGAGAGTTGGTAAAAACATTTAAGTTCAATGGGGTTGTTTCTTTTCAGGGAAAAGCTGAGGCGGATAACAGTTGATCAGAGAGCAAAAAGCTAGAGGTGATAAGATTGACATAAACATATATTAAAGAAGAGTCAAGTGATAACATACACTGCAAATGCCACAAATTGCTAAAGAACCTTCCAAACAATTCAAAAGATCAGCTAGTTTCTCTCGCGGTAATTTCTTGGCCTCCTCAATAGATGATCTCCAAACAGAACCAGAGTTGGACCCTCCAACAAGAAGAGGGTGATCACAAGCTTGTCTCAGGCGTAAAAGCATCAGCAATATGTTGACATAATTTTGTTTGACTGTCCCGGCAGCAGCATATTCCTGAATTGTTCATAAATTGATATGTTAAGAGGAGAAGAATTCAAAAGCCAAAGTTCTTGAAGACTGGGTATAAAATATCGTCTAAACATACAGCAAACTGAGCACGTGATTCAGATTCAAGTCTGCAGTAGAAATCTCGTTCCTCGTCAGTAAAATCAACTTTTCTCAGTATAATTCGTTTCGGTGGAAGGTTGATAATGGGTTCTCCATCAAGAAATGTACCTGATCAGATAATGACAGCGTTAATCCTCAATATAGAAATTTAAGAGTTATGCGCTTAGTCAGACATGCAAACAGTACAACAGTAAAAGTGGACAATGACCACCAGAAAACCAAGTTGAGTTTGTCATATTCATTACAACGAGCACCTCACAGATACATGTTCCCAACTAGCAAATGACTTTTAGCACTTCATTTGAAAATCTAAGCGCACACAGCCAAAACGAGTCGAACAAAGCTGCATGTCTGAACATTTATGAGTAACATGTTAAAGATAAGAACAATAATTGGGCTCAGATGAACCAAATAGACCATATGATCCTTTTCTTTCCGAAGAACAAAAAGAGAAACTTTGAAATTATTTTAAAAAAATAAACATAATTCCAAGAATGAATCTGCAACACATAGGAGAGCAAACAGGGAATATAGGACTAACCTATACCGCAAACCTATGTTACTCGGACTCTTCAAAAATGTTGTTGGGTGCGTGTCGGATCCTCCAAATTTAGTGCATTCTTGGAAGATCCGACACGGGTGCGGCAGCGCTTTTGAGAGTCCGAGCAACATAGCCGCAAACAAATGGTAACGCACCAAGAAAGTACTTACTGTACAAACTCTGTCAGGACACATCTCTAAAATTTAATATGGACAAAAAATCCCTACTAGCATCTGCACAATGCACAGAATAAAAGGAAATTTGGAGTAAATCACTTACATGTTCCTAACTTATGCTGGAAGCTACAATTTCGTCATTACCTATCACTTTGTCCCCATAGCATCATCAATATAACATTTTTAATTTTAGATGATCCTAGCCAGAAGCCAAATTGGTGCTAAATCTTAGTAAAACATGATGATTTACAAGTGTAACTTTGAAAAAACACTATACCTTAACAGTTAACTAAAAGAAGTGAAAAGGAAAGAGAAAGAAAAAAAAATTGCTTTCTTCTATGTCCCACCAAACCCACCTGTNAAGCTTTTTGTTTCCTATCCACCCTCTCCCTCTTCATGTGTCCCCCGCACCTACCCCTACTCTCCTGCCTGAATCCCCACAGCAGCAGCCACTCAACAAATATCTACAAGTGGCCCCCAGCACCTGTGATGGTGGGTCTGATATTCCCGGAATTCCTATATCCTCTACATTTTTTGCTTGCCTGCTACCACTTTGGGCTTTCTCGATTAAGAATTTGTGCGGGTGTTAAGACGGATGCAAGTTTCTTGATTTTGAAGTTAGGGTGGTGGAGGAGGTTGCATATTTATTGCTCAACTCAGGTAGGGGAGTTCCAGGTTGGGGCACAAGGGGGTGGTGTTGACTAAACAGTGGGCAGGACTTGCTGTAGATGTTGGAGTCAGGATTGACTATAGAGGTGGTTGAAGCCATGGAGGAGCCTTGCGGGGAGAAAAGGACCTGGATTTGTGGCAATCATATGTTCTACTTTTTACTTTTCTTTCGTTTTCCTTTTTTTTTCTCTTTCGTTTCTCAGTCAGAAAGATCAAGTTTTTCTCCTCTTTTCTTTTTTTCTTTCTCCTGGTTACTTCTATTTCCTTAAAAAAATATTCATTTTAAAATAAAAATTTCAAGCAAAATTACCCAAGTGAACATCACGTGTCTCTCACATGATGTCAGATTTTAGCTCCAATTTCCTTACTGGAGGGACACTAAAGACCATCTGAAAAGAGAAGTGATAAATTGAGGATAAACTAAGAATAAAGTGAAGGATGAGGAGGAAATTGTAACTTATAGCACATAAGTGCTTTTTTCCAGATAAGTTGTAACTTAGAACATAATTTGGGCATCATATAGTACTTTACTTGAAATCATGTAATATACTGATGCGGGAAGTATAAAAAGAAAGGTTGGGGCAATGAAGAGCTAGAAGAGTGCTCGCAGATCCTCTACCCTTTTATCAGTATTGAAATAGAAATAGACATGAATGGTTTGGCATCAAAAAAAGATGCAACCACAAGTGAATCATATTATATCATATAAGGAGCAAGCCTGTCTAAAATGGTATACAGCTTATAGAGGAAAAGTACATGCTGAAGTTATTATATTCACCTTTAGTGCGACGAAGCATAACAGTCTTAAGCACTGCTTGCAGCTTTCTGTACCCAGTTGTTGGATGTTTCTGGATTGGAAACTTTATTGTGGAGCAGAATTGTTTATACACTGCATATGGGTCATATTTGAGAAACCTGAAGTAACTGTAAAGGTCATCAACTGCGTTTTGGATAGGTGTCCCTGACAAACACCATCTACGTTTAGCACGAAGACCCCAACAAGCCCTAGCTACTTGGGTTCTGTAATTCTTGATGCTTTGAGCCTCATCCAGCACAATCCTATACCATCCCACCCTTGCAAGAGGGCGCGCAGTGGCTTCAAGCAATTCCTTCTCCACTTCTTTTTTTGCCTTTGATGAACTTTTCTTTGAGCTCGAAGGAGATTTTCTCTTTTTACTAGAAGGTGATTCATGAGTTCCTTTTCCTGTCTCATCATCATCTTCCACAAGAGGCTGCTTAGGGACCTCCATGCTTACTATTGAATATGTAGTGACCACCACATCGTACTTTGCTAGTTCAATAGGGTCCTTTGTTCTATTGCTACCATGGTATACTAGGACAGAAAGATTTGCTTTGCTTGTTACCTTATTGTGCAACTCCTCAGACCACTGACGAAGGACACTGGTAGGACAAACGATAAGGGTGCCCGCAGCAGGCCTCCCTTTTGTATGCATAGAAGTTTTACCGCCTATGCTAGAATTATCATTGACTTGATAAGAATAGGCACCTAGCTTTGACTTGTCAAGCTCACATGAAATATCATCATCGTCCAAATTCAATGTCTCCGTTTTAGTTTGTCTGGCCATGGCTGTAGAAACTCTCGAAGATGGAGACCTTTCTTTGAGTATAAGTGCAATTGTTGATACAGTTTTTCCAAGTCCCTACAACAACCCAAAGAAAAAAGATTACTAAAAGGGCGACCAATTCGAAGGCAACTTTACTCATGTAGACAGACAAAACATTGAGAAGTTTAAAGTGTCAAAAAGTTACCTGATCGTCAGCAAGAATCCCACCACAACAGGGTACACCAGTTTTTTCCTTCTTGACCATCCATGATAAAGCAATGCGCTGCGTGTAAATTGAACGGATATAATTCAGATAATTCCTCACACCAATTCAATATATAATACATTTTATCTCTTGTTTTTCCCTGGTTAATTCTTCTTCAGGAGGAGGAAGAGGCATAGAGAACCTAAACAGCCTGCTATAAACTATAATATGAATAAATGAAAAAAGAAAAACAGATAGAGAAGCAGATCAAGAAAAATGAAACACCCGAACAATAATCTAGGGCAGTAAAATACACAAGCATATACAAAGTTCCACAAGGATGTTTTCAGCGAAAGGAGTTATTGGCTTAGTATCAGTTATAATGCAACTATTTTTAACCATATCTTCAGATAAGCTACAGAATTTCAGACAACACAATATGTTCAACCAATAGAATAATTCAGAAAATTCACATATCATTGATGTATTTTGTCAGCAGCAGCTTTCTTTTGGCGATAACGAAACAATTTTAGTAAAATTTAATTCTCTCAATTCCCGGGCAATTGCACCAAAAATTCAAGTAGACGCCCTCAGTACGATATTAATGATCTCCACATCTTGAAGAATAAATTCAGGTACATGCTGCACTTAGAAAATCGAAACTTATAATTCCTATAAACATAAACCATCAAACAGTGCTGAACCTGGTGTCTCAATAGAGGAACAGCCAAAAGACCATCGGGTGGATTTTCTTCTGATTTCGGCTGAGAGAGATCCTGCAACAGGTACCACAGCCTTAGTCCAATCAGAATTTATTTCTTTAAGTGAAAACAAGGCATATTTTCTCACGGGCGCAAAAGGCACCCACGTAGTGTCATCGTGTTCCATCAAACAACAACTTTAAACACAGACAGCTTTCAAAAGTCAGGAAGGAATTTTCTGTATTGATCATCCACATACACAGCAAACAATAAATTGGACAGCATAAAAGTAAAGAATCCAACTAATCCCTTGAATTGCACATGCTTAAAGGATTTCAACTCCCATCTTTTTAACTAACAAACTATTATCAATAAAGATACACAAGAAAAAAAACCATTCAAGTGGGTGCGAATAATTACCAGAGAAACAGTTAAAGATAAATATTAATTTTAAAACAGCGAAAATAGCATGACAACATTTCAGAGCACAGTTATTGCAACAGGTGTGTATTGAAATAGCGACAGCTATAAGTCCTCACCTGCAAGGCAGCTCGATAAATAACAAGCTCATCATTTGACTTCGGCCTCATTTGTCCCACTTCAGCTGGAATAAAAGAGTTAGTAATTGTAGTACGCTGTAGAGCAACAAGAGACTTGCCATTAGCACATGGATTTGCCTTTGCAGGTGCACTTATATCCTCGAGAATGCACAGATCATCATCATCCTCACTATGGCTTCTTTGAGGCAACAAGCTTCGCTGAGCTCCTCGATGAGTGGTTGTAGATAGACGAGAACCAGGAACTTTTAAAGAACTGTGTTTTTGCCCTAACATTGCACAGCTGAACTGCTGCTTCATTGAAGTTGATGACAATGAGACAGGCAGTTCTCTACCCTTCACATCAGCATGGTGATCATGAGGAACCAAAATGGTTTTTTCTAAAGAAGCTTCTTTGAAATTATCAAGGTGATGAGAAGACCTATCATACTGAAGTATATCATTTTCAACCTTTGGATAAACCAAAAAATTGTTACTTGAAAAGGCAGTTGCAGGAGCAGGAAAAAATGAATTTGAGAGCCCAGAAACTGTAGGTATATCAGCACCACCTATCAGTTCATTTTTGTCATTCCTTCTGTGTAACTGGTGGTTTTGAATAAGGAAACTTGACCCACTGAAAGGCAAAGGCTGAGGAAACACCTTTTGCACCTTATTACTGTCTCTTAATCTGGAGGACAAGATGCCATTATTTAATGATGTTTGGATACCACCACTACGATAGGCACTGAGCTCCCCAACACCAAAATTTGCGGTCATATAACACTCAGGAGCCTGCTGAACTCCTTCACCTGCTCTTGTCCAATTCTCATATGCCATTGTATCCGAGTCTGCAATCCCAGTTGTATGGTCCAATTGTTCGTCCATTATATTTAGCATCTTATCATTGTGAGACAGCATTTCAAAATCAAGGTTATTTAGTGCAGCCGGCTTCGAGAAAGAATCTGCATGGGAAGTTTGTGGAAACTTGTCCCAACTTTCGGGCAAAGTATCAGAACTCTGACATAAACTAAACCCAGCGTAGGGCTCATCATTTGAAGATGCAGCTACTTCAATGCTTGGTGTTTCTTCTGCAGCTAATGTTTCTGAGGTTCTCAACTTGTTCTCTGTAGTTGATTGGCTTAGCAGCAACCCTAAAATGTCAATGACGTTTTTCGAAGCGATTAGAAACAAAAATGAATAAATATAAAACTTACAACAGAAAAGAACCTCAGAGCAAAGATGAGAATAACAGAAATGCCGACTAAAAAGAAGATCAAGAAACATTCAGCGCAAGATTTTCGCTCTGGAGAACCAGTTGTATTAATGAGTTTCACATATCGTATAGCTGGTCCAAATTCTATCAATCATTGATATGATCAGTATTAACAGCAAAGCTACATGTGTCACAACTAGTGGACATCTGAAGGTTGAGGTTCCTTACTTTCTTGTTGGACATTAGATGAAGTACACCGAGAGAAATTATCCTTATGAGTGGACCGGTCATTGTCCTGACCAGGCTTCCGTTCAGTCAGGTTTCTNGGCCTCCGTTCAGTCAGGTTTCCACAGAAACTGTGTACCGGAGAGTCTATCCCTAATTGAAACTCAAGCTTCCCACCATCAACATTTGAATTCCCTGCAGAATCAGATGAACCATCTGAAACACCTGTCCTAGAATCTGAAGCTTCTGAGTTGGAAGAAGGGGAGACTCCAATGTGTCCAAGAAATTGACCCCCTGAAGATGAAGCTCTCTCCAAATCTGAATAACCTACTTAAAATAGCATAAACATCAAGAATCAAATATCAATATCAAGATGAGTAATAAGCACCATAATCTCACACCAAGTTAGTAACAACATCAAATTCCATAAGTATCCAAGTTGGCAACCAACTAACCTTGTCCCATGTCATTTGGCATAAAAACCTCTGGCATACTCTGCAAAAGGATACCCGAATATTAAAATCATTGACAAACTGGGTAAGCATTGTAAGACCAAACTGTTCGCGTGATCCAATGACAGATCTACAATATGTATCTCCAGACCAAAGATTGAAAGCAAAGCACTTCGCAGTATATTCTTTACTTAACCTATATTGTGTTTTTACTTCGTGAAGCTGATGGCTCAATTTCATTCATTAAGCTTTTTGTCAACTCTTTCGGCTGCAACTTAGTAACAACGGAATAACTGACCTCACATCAATTTTAACCATCTACATCCAATGGACAATTTAAACAGTTTACGGGTCTACGTCCAACACCTCTTGGTCTTGGACACAATAATGTAACCGATTGCTCAGTACTTAATCAACAAGCCATTCGAATTTACAAGGTGTAATGTCTAAAAATAATAGTAATCCCATGAGTAAATTTATTCATTTTGACAAGCCCATTCCTAAAATATAGTACCACACATCTCTATTATGTATTACTAAACATTCACTGACTTCAGGTGTATCTAGTATTTCTATTTGTTCAATTTAGTCAAACACATCTATAAATTATTTCTACCAACATGTCCTTTATTTATGAAAATTTGCAAATGTGATGTGTCTATTTAAGTACCACAGATACTTCAAAAGAACCCCATCCACAGATACTGAAAAAGGCACAAGACATCCTTAATGCTTCTCACCATATTATTACCAACCATTGGTATTAAATTTCTCAGCATCTAACAGCTTACGAGTATTTTTTCAAACAGTCATAATGTGTTAAAGAAATTCAGCAAGGTTTTACCTAGTATTCAAAGAAATCACACGTTAGTATCCTTAATATTTCAAGATTCAGCTAACCAAATTACTTCAGCAGCTCTTAGTTCACCCAACCTAGTTAAATCCACAATAAGCCATCCCAATCCCAATCCCAATCAGACTCAACAGTTATAAGTCTCGACTTGAAAATGGGAAAACAGATACCGAGTCTGAATCTATCAACTAAAAAGGTTCTGTATTTCATTGATACGTCTTCTATTACTAATTTCTTGCAATAATCACACAATAGACCCAGTTTTCCCAAAGAGCAAGTAATCTCATCCTAAAGGTCAATTAAGGACCACTGGCAAAAAACGTGAGGTAGGTACCTTATTAGAAGCATCTATAATTATGACTCAGAGTCAGCACATGCTATCCGTGGTTACATAGGGAAATGTTATATTGATTATACAGGTCATTGCTATGACTATCAACCTTGTAGTACATATTAAAAGTGTTTCGATTCAGTGAAGTTACATGTTAACTGGTTTTCACATGTCTAAACTTATTGATTGAGTAGAAGAATACTTCAAGGTATAACATAGGCCCTTCTATAATATTATATACTTACAACAACTAGGCCTCATTCTCAAACAAGTTGGGGTTGACTGTATGAATCCTCACTGACCATGTTACTCCATATAAACTCATCTCATGCCAATATTATCGAAAATAAAAATAACAATAATAATAATAATAATAAAATTAAAAAACTACTTAAATTTTTGTATGTAACAAACGATTACTACCCCTATTTTATCCCAACCAGAGAGAGAGAGAGAGACCAAGACTCCCGTAGAAGAAGTCCCTCTTGTATATTGTCAATACTCAATTCAATAAGAGTCTCTCTCTTCCTTTCTCTTTTTACAGAGCGTCGCTAAAAGGCCCATTAGTAAAAGAAGCTATTCAATCAGGCATCACAGAAGTGTGAAAATATGCAGTCTTATAATACAAGTGGTCTTGAAATATTTGATAGTTATGGGCCTTCAACTAGCATAGTCATAAGTGTTTTGACATTTACAGTTTTCATGTTACCACCATGCTACCTTGAACGACACAACAAAAAGAACAAGGGTCACCTCCATAGCCATGCATCTCCAGTAACTACAGAATCTAGTTAATTACAACAACTCGCAAGCTCATGAGTCATGATCCTACGCAGCAAGATATAATGAAAATAAGGTGCAATTAGATATTTTTTCAAGATGACACTAGCTGAAATTTGCAAGATAAAAACTGACATTTCGCTGTTCACATCAAAAAGTGCTAAATTCTTTTATTTGAAAATCTTTTCATGAGATTATTCTTTATTCGAGATGTTGAATTTTTTATTTATTCTAAAATTATCTTATAATGTGAGGCAGGTATATGATATTCCATTACAAACATATAAATATTCTTTCAGTTCAATGATAATCTATTGGGGTTATATAATATATTTTCTATTTCACGGGAAGTAAAGCCAATTTTACTAGACCTCTATCCAGCAACCTAATGCGACACGGCAAGGTCGAACAGTTTAGCTAAACTCTCCCATATGAAAAAAATGATTGGAACTGACAACATTATGACGTACTCACTCTGTTCCATTTTATGTGAAGGTGCTTGACTAAGCACTGAGTTAGATAAATAAAGGGAAGACTTTTGACACATAAACTAAATATATGCAAAGTACCAATTTAGCCCGTACTACCAATAATTAAATGAGTCAGTTGTGAGTTCCACATGCCTTTACACTTTCTCTCTCTTAGTAAATGAATGAGCTTTTATATCAAGTGAGACCAAACAAGTCATGTCATTAAGCATAAATGGAGACGCAAATCTTAAGATAGTTTCCAAATAGAGAAAGATGTTATTCTTTTCGGAGCAGACAAAAAAGGAATAAAAAGGAATGTCAGGCGTAATAGAGAACGTAAAAATAAAGATCAACAAATGTATCCAACTTAAATGGAAAATATCTAAATTGTACAATCATCTCATCTAAAAGCTTAAACATTAAACTACTAAAAGGAAACACTCAATTATTCATTTAATTCTTACAAATTTTCTTTCAAAGCAAAATCTAGAGAGTTTAAGTTCCACGCGCTGACAGCGTAAAAATTATTTACACAATTAGGTCACTTAAAAATAATTGCAGGCAACTTTGGTCAATAAGCATTGCTCATTAGTCTAACATAAATGGCAAGTAACATTCATTAGACTGTAAGTGTATATAACTTAAATTTAAATCCAAATCAAACCCAAATTTTGAACCCCTATACAATAATCTTATTCATATATACACACACAAACACCAAAAAAAAAATTAAGAGGTGCATGTCCAGTTCCTACTGAATCGAGAATTACCCACTAAGAAAATTATTACTAAGCGATCATGCTCAATTCACAGTAAAACCCTGATTTACAAAAAAAAAATTAACTTATATATACTGACAGCATAAAGATTTTTTCATACTATCGGTGAAATTTAACCTGTACTAGCCAATTGATTACCATCTTTACCAGATTACCAAGACTTGATTGTGTAAAGATTTTTTAGACTGTCAATGCATACAAAAAATTCATTGAAAATTTACCGGCAGAGAAGGATCGGGGTCCTCGTCAATAATTCGCCATATATCGTCAATATCCATGCTTAGCTCATCAAAATTCATCCCAAATTCGACCGACAAATCATCCGATGGTAACGAATATTGCGATGACTGGTCCGCCATCATCATCGCAAAAATATCACTAAAATCTAAAATTCTCACCAAATCCAATCAATCAATCATTCAAATAAAAATAAAAAAACCCTAATCCAGCAACAACAAAAAAAAAGCCTAGAAATTCACGAGTCCTCTAAGATTCCAATACGCTGTCGTTTCATCAACCCAAAAGGATCACAAAATTTTCACCACACTAACTCTCTGTGTGTGTGTGTGTGTGAGAGAGAAGATAAATCTACGATTGGATTTTTCTTCTGGCAAAGAAGGTTCGTAGAGGTTTCAAAATACGCGACTTCTGATTTGGCCACTTTTTTTGCCCTTTTTATTTAATTAATGAGTACGTGTTTTTTCTCGTGATGTTTTTGGGGGAATTTGTGTTGAATTGGGGATGAGGTGGTGTTTTATGACTTTCTTTTTATAATTATAATAATAATAATAAAATAATTAAAATAATGATTTAAAAAAAAACAATTTCCTAATTTGGTTTGGACTTTAGATATAGGAGGAATCCAAATGTGAATACTGAATAGGGAAGGTTTTGTTAAGTGTAAGGCCCGCGTTTTGTCAGTTCAACTTCAGTTGTCTTCATCTTTTTTTTTTCACATGTCCATTTCGGAAATAGTTAGATTCTAACTAGAAATATTCTTTCGGTCTATATTTATGCGACGGTATTTGACAGTACATTTTAAAATATTCACTTTGAATATTAATTATGCTAAATATTTAACGGTCATTTTTATATGTCGTTTAAGATTTTTGACACATTTATTAATCATAAAATTTATCTTACTAGATTACTCTTATCTCTACTTTAAATGAGTAAATAATGACCATAGTCTTACTAGTAATCTTCCTTAAATGAGTGACTAATAACTATACCTAGTGTAATTTCGTAAGTGGGGTTTGAGAAAGTTAGTGTGTACGTAAACCTTATCTTTACCTTGTGTAGGTAGAGAAGTTGTTTCCGATACACCCTCGGATATAGCATAATCTCAACAGTTTTGAAAAAAAAATATAGTAGTAGAGAAGTCACGGAAAAAGAAACATTGACAAGAAAAAAGCAAAAATTGAATTGAAGAAGAAAAAAGTAGTTAATGTTTTCTTAATTTAATAAAGTGGTAAATATTTTAGACCACTTTTTTTGTTTTTTTGGCTAAGGCAACAAATGAAAAAGTACCAAGGAAGTATATTAGTGACAGTTTGAAGAAATTAGTACGGTGATGATTGAAAAGTCTGATACTGAAAATATCATAACAAAGTTTAAAATTTTTGAGTAATTTAATTGATTTAAATTTTTGAAAGTTGTATAAAACGATATGTGGTATTCAATGTCGGTTCTCTAATTGAAGGAAGTTTTAAGATTTCAACTTATAATATTACTTTTTAAATTTTATTTATATGATAATGTCTCATTGCATATAAAGTTTAAAATATTTATTTTATTTGTTATATTAGTGATAATGGGAAGAATTAGTAAAGTACTAGTCAAAAATTAGTTTAATAAAGAAAACATTATATCAAAGTTTAAACTTAATGAATTTGAATTGGAATTTTGAGAAACAAAGGAATCCCTTTCGAAATAGAAAATAAATCATATCATTAATTGAAACATATTTTATTTGTATTGAACAATATTTTGGAGAACAAAAATAATTATTAAATTCAACAGCAAAAATAGTCACCTTTTCCTTGAAAAAGACAAAAGATGCCTCTAGCTAAGACATAGTAGTAATTAATTACTTTCTTTTTTGGTAATTGAGTAAAAGTTAAGATAAAGATACCATTACATATCATTCATTTGTGTTGAATATGTGTGTAAATCTTAAATGATCAACACAAGAAAAGTAAACCATTTGTTTTATTTCCTTTTTACCATTCGTCTTTCCTTCTAAGAACAAACTAGTAGGATACTCCGTACTGCGCACGGGCCCAATAACATCGGCTAAACAGTATATATATATATATATATATATATATATATAATATTATTGCTAGTCCCAAACTATTATCTAGAAAATAAAATTTAAAAGGAACTTATTTCATGATCAGGTTACGTTAAATAGCATGACTAATTTATGTCAAACTTACATATTCTTACAATACAAATTTTAACATCATAGAAAGCTTCAATTTTTATATAATAATTCAAATAAAAGATATAATTGTTCAAAGGAAAATGCATAGTTCAAATTAAAAAAAATAGCTAGATTGGGGCGACAACCCAAGAATTACTACAAAATTATCCTTTTTATTTTACCACTTTTGTTTTGAGTCCTTTATAAATTCGTTGAGAATTCTTCTTTTCAACATTTGATCATGAGATTCTTCTAGTTATTTTTTTACCTTTTGTGGCTTTTTGTGATTAGAAAGTCATTTTTAAAGGTGTAAACTTTATGTTGATTCTCAAAGTGTTTGATCGAAAAGTAATTTTTTTATTGGTAGAGAAATTCAATATCATTAAAATGCCCTTTGTTATCATTTTTTTTTCCAGATATTTTTGAAAAGGTAATTACATTGGATTTTCATTTGTGAAGCACCTTTTTCTTTATACATATGTCTACTTCAATCTATAATTCGAACACGCTTATGTTATTAATAGTGGTTTACGACTTTGCCTCTATATATTCAATCAAAGACCCTAAGTATTTGACAATGGCAATGGCATTAACGAAATCAAGCACTTCAATGTTTAAATCTCTTCATAGGTCTTCACAAGCAAAACTAACAAGCTATACCCCTTTCTATTTTTCATTACCAAAAATTTTATTTTAAAATATTTGGAATACATTTTCATACATGGTTGATTTGGTTGTTGTTTAATCTTTGAGTTGTTACTTATATATAAAGTGTTCGTCTCTTTAAAACTATTCCCTTAGATCACATGAGTTGAAATATCACTATTCAAATTGAACAAAAATGATTTTCCCTCAATGGAGATGAACTCCTGTTTGAATTATAAGCTCCTTCCTTAATTTTAATTACGCTTAATTTTATATTAACTAAGCAATTACACGTGCGAAGAAAAAGGTCAAACTATGTAATCATTTTAAATTGCAGGCAAATTAAATTTTAAACTATATATTTATCTAATATTGTGATATAAATTTTGTCCAAATGCCAACAATAAGTACAATTGTTTAATACTTTTACTACAGAAAATAATAAAAATATTAATATCTCAGAGAAAACATAAAGTTTGAACAAGCAATGTTTAGCTCGGTGGATACGATGGAGATAGTAGCGAAGCATTATGTTAAACCTTTTTTGAGGAGTATTTCTACTAAAATAAAAAATTTCACTCATAATGTAACTTCTTCTTTACAAATAAAATTCATATCCAAACATAACTTTAACTTTCAAATATAGATTTTTTTAACTTCAATTGATCTAATTTTTCAACTTTAATCAAATATTATCCAAATGCTAGCAGTAAGTTACGTTTTCTATGTTATGTAATTAAAATTAAAATCTAAAGTTGGCATAGAAATAGCTACAAAACTAAATAAGATTATCGATGTAGTAATGCGGCAAAACAACGTATAAATAAATTATACTGCAAACATATTACACTATATTTAACTTTTAGGTCCAAATGCCAACAATAAGTTTTTTTTTAATGTTATGTAATTAAAATTAAATCTAAAGTTAGGCATAGAAATAACTACAAGAATTAAATAAGATCAATGTAGTAATTCGGCAAAACAAAATTATACTGTTAATATAATAAACTATATTTAACTTTTAGAAGGAAGAAAAAGAAAAACTATAATTATCAGTCAGCAATACTCCTTTTGTAAAAAGGAACATGGATAAGCCGACATCAATTAGCATGACATGTAGATGGAGAGTTAACACTTGTCAGAAGAAGGTGCATGTATTCCCTCTTATTAAGAAGTAGTAATATAGTGCAATAATAGTCATCCTTTATTAATTTTCTTGTTATTGATCAATATAAACATTTAATCCAATTTATTTAAAAACATATTAGAAACTTGTCCGCTGCAATATATACAATACTACTAATGTTAGAATCAACTTTTAAATAAGCATATGTTGGCATTTAGCAGATGTATCATAATCAACTACACTGCTAACATCGAATGTTTTAAATGTGAGGTCAAATCTCCTAACAAAATCCTCTGTGTTCAAAACAAAGTTACACGTAAAGGTTTGTCATACGTCTCTTGTTAAAATAATTTATGTGTTTTACCCGCTTTGTTCTAATTATTAGTATAAATATATTTTATAGAAAAATACTTTCTAAATTTTTTGTTTATCCTCAAAATCGGATAACAATTGAATTTGTAAGTGATTTTAAGGATACGTGGACTAACTTGACACAAAATAATAAATTAGATTGCAATTGAAATAAATAGTGATGAAGTAAATGCAAACCACACGAATTGGACGATCTTAGCCTTGGGAGGTTAATCACCCTCGAGCCAGATACGCTTCGATCGGTGTCAGGATACAGAAGAATAAGAGTTTAAAGAAAAATAATAATGATATATTGCTTTGGAATGCGTGTTACAATGTGTTGAATGAATTATCAGACCACCCTTTATATAGTATAGGAGTCCTACTTTGGGTACAATTCTATAAAAGGTAAAAAAATTCCTTGATTTATTGATTGCCGGTTCCTTACTGATACGCATCGAGATTTCCGCCGCAACATCTGCCCGGTTACGGATATTTCGGTCTTCCGTTGATTATGCTAACAATATTTTTCCGAGCTCATTCGGGGTTAAGGTCGACTCCGGGGTCTCGGACTCAATGTTCTTGAAGTAAGGTGTTTTGACCCCGGGTTCTAGCCCAATGTGACTTGGGCCCGATCTTCAGTCTTGCATTGTCATGTTCCGAGCTTGTCCTTTCATATCGTAGGCGAACTCGATTTCGAACGTATACAAATAGTACCCTCAATTTTCGGAGAGTAGACGACGAGAAACGACATGACTTTACGATTCTTTCTTCGACACCACACGATAGAAACGACAAAACAATTGAAACGTCTCGTCACTCAAGTCTTAATGGCATTAAATATTTGTCAATTGCTGGTTGGTCACTCCTGGATGCGAATCGTTGTTGAAAAACTATAAATACCCCCTCATTTTCTCATTCAAACTTTACATTCAAAGCTTCTGCCCTCGTACCTTAGCAATCTTAATATTTTCAGGCACTTATATTTGACATCTTTTTACAAGAACTTATGTTCCGTCTTCATCCCAAACCATCAAGTGTACTCTTTTAACTCCCTTTTTTTCCTCTATTTCCTTCATTTTCAAAAATGGTGAAGACTTCAAAAACTGTTCACCAAAAAGAAACTCCTTCGACCTCGCGATCGGCTACCGAAGAG